ATACTTGTAAATATCAATTAAGATATTAAAAAATGGACGGATGAGAGAGAGTACAAAAATCTTCGAATCAAAATTTATTTTAAATGTAGAAAGTAGTGTGAGCATTCCATCGGTTCATTTGGACTTGGCAAAATTTTGAATTTTGATCGAATTTTTTATTTGTAAAATCAAAACTGAAACCGAACCAGAATTTTTAAAGTCAAACCAAACCGAGTTGACTCATTTCGATTCAATTCGGTTTGTAACCTTAACAAATTGATTTTTTTTTATTTTCATGATGATGTTCGAACTCATTCGTTTAATTTATTCGTCACCGTTACATATTCATTCATTTTCAAAGCATATCCAAAACAATTTACAAATGAATCAAAATACTGAAATATAAGTACTTAAAAATTATAATTATAATATAATATAAATTTTATTTCATTTAAAATTCAAATATTTTGATTTAATGTTTTAAAAATGGTAACCAAATTTTATGGATTCGATTTTAAATAGAATCGAATCAATTAATCGGAAAGACCAATTTGATCCGTCCAAATATAAAAAAATAATAATAATAATAAAATTGTATATTCTAAATATTTTTCTATTATTTGTTCTTTTAATTATTTCTATTTAATAATAATATTACAATAAAATTAATTTATTTTTATTTATAATATATGTATTATATTATTCATATTTTTTATTTAAATTAAAAATTCTCATTTATTTTAAATAAAAATATAAATATTGATGATTTAATGGAATTTTTATAATTTTATTCAAATATATTTGTGTATATATAAATTTCAATAAATTTATACAATTTTATTTTATTTTTCTTTATTTTTAATATTTTTATTAAAATAAATTTATATTAAATATCCATAATTAATATATCATAACTAATATATTTAACAGACTATAATTAAGACAATCAATAAATATTTTGTAAATATTAAAGTTGATAAAATTATTAAGAATATGGTAATATGATGTATATATAGAATACTTATCTATTCAATTTAAAAATTAAATAATAAATTTGAATTTAAAAAATAAATTTGCTATTATATATATATATTAATTACATAGTTACTGATTATATAATTTTTAATTTTTTTAAAAAATAATGAATATGTTTTTTTAATAAAAATTTAAGAAAAACATAAAAAATATATAAATATTTGATGAATAAAAAATTAAATATAAAAATATTGTATATCGCACGGATTTTTCACTAATTTTGAATTAAAAAAAAATTGTATCAATCTAAAGAAAAAAAAAATAATGAAACGAAAATAGAAAAAGAATTGATTAATGATGCAAGATGTTTAGCATTTCCAAGAATTCAGTTTCAACACTGATTTCACGCGAACCCACCACCTTCAAACCTGCCACTGCCACTGCCACCTCATTGCTCTATTTATATTTATATTTATATTTAATTTATTTAAAAATTACTTCATCCATTAGGGATACCGTGTCTGCAGTATATCAGGAGAGTTATAATTAGTAGATAATTAAAAATATATTAATAAAAATAATTATTTTATAATATAAATAATTATAAATTAAAATTAAGATAACTAATTAGTTTAATTAAATTAAAAAATTTAAAATGAAATTAAAATGTATAATTATTTTTCAAAAAAAAATAACATAGCATGTGAGACGGACATAAACATGATGGTATTTGGGACGTGGAAGTAGTAGTAATTTCCAACAGGTTCAGTAACCAATTCAAACTCTAGAAAACAACCGCAATATAAAAATTAAAAAATTTAAAAAAAAAATGTTGTCACAGCCAATAAAATAAATTAGTACAACAGCACTGCACCCTCTGCATCTGGATTCACTATCTGCTTTTAGTAAAAAGTAAAAAAATATTAATAACTGATGATAAAAGTAATAATCTTTTTGAACAAATATTTTCTCCGCATCACTTTTTTCATTCATTTATATATATACACACAGACTAATTTAGATATAATATAATTATTTAAATTATAAATAACTAAAATATATAAATATTTTTTCTTAGAAAGACAAGTAAAATTAAAAATAGTGAACGAAAAAAATATTTTAAAAATATTAATAAAAATAAAAAATAAAAGTATTATTAAAAATATTTTTTTTACTAACCTTACTTAATAAGTGTATTAAGAGAGTAAATTTTAGGAGATCGGAGTCATAGTAAAAGTGGAAAATTAATGATGAAACAGACAACCAAAAAAGACCCACAATACATACATAAATACATATACATACATACAAAAGCATTGGAAACGTTGCCTGAATCTAGCAGGCGGAATCTGTTACACATAGTCTAAACCCTCATTTATTTTAATTTAATTTAGATTTTACTACCTCCGTCCCAAATATCTGTAGACACAGTATTTTATAAAGAATGTAATTAGTAAATAATTAAAAATATATTAGTGAAAATAATTATCCTATAATATAAATAATTATAAATTAAGATTAAAATAACTAATTAGTTTAATTAAAATTAAAAAAATAAAATTTAAAAATTTAAAATAAAATTAAAATGTGTAATCATTTTCCAAAAAAAGAAAATGACATGGAATGTGGGACGAAAAAAAATGACAATATGAATATAGTATCTGGAACGACGGAGGGAGTAATATATATCCATCACTATTTTATCATTAGCAGTAGTAATGTATTACTCATATTCTATACTATTTTCGTTGTACATAATTTTTTTTTTTTTTTTTATCATATATAATTTGTCTTTTTTTTTTTAAATATAATTATATATTTTAATAGATTTAAAATTTTAAATTTTATAATTTTTTTAATTTTAATTAAATTATTTAGTTATCATTTATAATTATTTTTATAATATAATAATTATTTTATTAATATACTTTTTAATTATTTACTAATTATATTTTATATAAAATTTTTGTATTTACAGTAATACACCTAAATTATATTGGACGAAAAGAATATTTTATTTCATATTTATGTTTTAGTTCTTTATATATTTTGTCTGATTTTTTCAAAGAATTATACATAATTTAATTTTAAATTTTAATTAAATAAATAAATTATATTAATTTAAATTTATAATTATTTATATTATATTATAATAATTAAATGTATTAATATATATATTTACTTATTTAATAAATACTAGTATAATTTTTAAAATTTCGTGTAAACATAAGTACATAGGACATTATTCATGAGAGAACGTAGAGTATTATTTTTATTTGTTATTTTATTATATGTTTTTACGAAACCTACGACGATAGGCTTAGCCTAACCTAGTCTGAAGCAGCACCTAATGGTTTAGACCACTCCCCACCCCCACGATACGTACATAATTAATACTCTCTTTCTCATTCTTATTGCTCATATTACTATTTTTTTGGTCTCACATTTTATATAATGTTTTTTTTAAAATAAAAATTATATATTTTAATCTTGTTTTTAAAATTTAATTTCAATTAAATTAATTAATTAATTTAATTTTAATTTATAATTATTTTATTAATATATCATTAATTACTGTTTACTAATTCCACTTTTTATAAATTTTTATATAATATGAACAGGGACGGGGAAAAGTAATTACTACTCTTTTTGTCCTAAATAATTAAATTATTTATTCTATACCATCCATTTCAAAGTATTTATTATTACTTTTGTATGTTCAGTTTTGAAATATTTTTTTAAAAATATAAAAAATAAAAATCATAAACTAATATTGAAATAATTTAAATTTTAATAAATTATAAACGTATCATCAGACATATAAAGTTTATGGACAAAAAATATCAAAAATTATTACGCACTTTCACTAATTAATAAAATATTATTATTATTTATTAATATACTATAAAATTCCAAAAATATTTTTTGAAATTGGACGTAAAGAGTATTTTAATGAAATAAAAATATTATAAAATTATTTTTATATTTAAAATATTATATTAATATATCAGTATATAATAGTATAAAATATTTATTTTATTTTAAAATTTTATTAACAAGATCCTGGGACATTTTCTGCTTCATTGAAAGCGACTCTAGATATGTGATGGTCCCCACATAGGTTACGCGCCAAAATTAAATAAATACCTGCAGTACTCTGCTCCGTCCTGCACACATGATACCAAACTCACAACCAAATTTAATTTAATCTAATACTATAATATATAATAAAATAAATGCACTTGGATGAAACTGTAATAAAACTTATAATACTAAGTATTAATTAATAAATTAAATACTACACCCCTTCCGAACCAATGAATAAGCAATTAGATGACTTGTAACGTTTTCCTCACATTGATAGAAGAATTAAATATTTTATGGTAATTGATGAACACACTTACCCACTCGGTAGTCGTCTTTCTTTTTTATTACTATTATTTTGGTAATAATGATGGTAGTAATAGTGGGACAGAATGATAAACCCCATTAATAAGAGTCTTGCGTTATGGGGAAAATAATTAAATTGTTCACATTATAATCTTCAATTAATTAAATAATTAATTAGACTATAGTATTGTATGCGGCAAGAATTGTCCTGTTTCAGACAGGCTTGGCCTTATCAGTAGGGAGCAGCGTGTGTTGTACGCAAGCGGAGAATACGGTGGAATATTATCTATATTTAATTATTTTTATTATTATGTTCGAAATAATGAATTAAGCATGAAACCTCGTGCATTGTCCGGCTCTATATATTGTGTTTATTATTATTATTATTAAATAAATGATATTTGATTTTTCTGGTGTGGTGCAGTTGTGAATATGGGGTGGGGACAGCAAATGGATTTTATCTTTTATTGTTCACCGTTCCTCTATTATGCCACAACAGCGACATTTGCGCGAGTCCGACGTGTCAGCCTTTATGCTGCACGTGTCACTCTCCATCTCTAACGGTTGACTGCCACGCTCCGCTGGCATGACTGACTGGAAAAAAATAAAAAATAAAAAAAAAAATAAATGAAAGAAAGAAATGGGAAGAACTGTAATTACAGTGATCAATGGAAAATTTTACCAGATGAAGAAAAGAAATACAAAATTCCATTAAAAAGATTAAAAAGGATCGGCTGATCTATCACTACTACTACTGTATTGGTATTTTTTTTGTTTGTTGTTTTCTTTTAGGAGGTGAGGTTAACGTGAACGCTGGCGGTTTTGGAGGATTTGCAAACGGGGCAAATGTGAAGAGAGGATCCGCAGACCGTACAGAGGCAGAGATGCCTGCAAGGAAGGAGAAGGACGGATGATTCGTTGTTCCCGCAGCTCCGGCAGAGGCGGTTGCGGCTTCGCCGGCCGTCGTCGTCGGTGAGGAGGATGTTGTAATCGCGATTATCATCGCCGCCGCAGTGGTCGCCTTTGTTGGAGGTGCTGCCGCAGCAGGATTGAGCGTCGTCGTCGCCGGCGGCGTTTTCCGGCGGCAGTTCTTTCTGTTCGTCTTGGATTTGTGCGAGGACTTGTTCGAGATTGCATCGGAGAGTGTTGGCTGTGGCTTCGTTTGTTTGAGCTAAATCTCGCCATATTTGATTTTCGACGCAGAGAGATTTCACTCGCTCCTCCAGCGCCATGTTGAGTTTTCCGATCTTATCGATTTCTTCCTCCTTGGCTTTCAGTTTCTTCAGGATGGTTTCTTCGACGGTTAAGGCGATGCTGCGAGAGAATCTCTTCCGCCTCTCTTCGGTTTCTCTTCGCATCTTTTCAGTCTATTGGAAGATGAACAAGCAAAATGCTAAATCAGTAAAGCACGGATTGAAACGAAAGCGAGGAACGAAATTGATGCAGATATTCCGGAACAAGGATGAACATACGTGTTGAGCGACGAAACGATCGATTTCCAACTGCTGTTGCAGAAATTGAAACGAGAAATCTGCTCCGAGAAAAGTAAAAGCACCGCAGCGGCTATTCGCAATCTGATTATGAACACCGGTCGTCGGAAGTGAAGAAACCAGAGGATCGCTCGCATCTCTCGACCTCTTCCTCGAATTCGGAGCAGAACAAGTCACACCGCTATCAGACTTAATAGCCACACCTTTCGCCGGAGCATTCCCCACCACCGCCGAACCGTACATCGGAGCCACCGTTTCCGCCGCCGCACTGGTTCCAAACAACGTTCCATGACCGTTCCCAATGCCTTCAACGCCATTATTCATCAATCCCCTGCACAAAAATCATCCAACAATCACCAAACACATCCAACTCCAAACCTAATTACAAAATCAGCACATAAAAAACCACTCCTACCTATTCCCAAGCATCTGCATCGGAAAAAGCGCACCAATATGCCGAGCTTCAACCGCCATGGATTCCAAACACCTATCCTTCCAACCACGCAGCAAATCAACCTCTATATATAACACCAAACCTCCACTGCACGCCAATCCAGCCTCGAATTAATTGACTCCGTCAGGCAAGAAAAGAAGAAGGTGAGAAGGAGAGCGGAAAAAGGCGAATACCGCATGCAACTAAATACTCACGCAAAAGGTTGGGGAGGTTTTTATTTTTGGGTTTGGTTTGCGTTGGCTTTCATGGAGAGAGAAACAGAGAGGAGCGAGAAAATAGAGCCTGCGAAAAGATGTTTGTTTTGGAGTATTTAAAGGAGGCGAGAGACAGAGAAAAAAAGAAAGAAACAGTAAAGTAAGTAAGAAGAGATTTGTTTTATTTCTGACTCGGCCGAATCGGTTACCAGAAACGCCCCTCTTGACCGTTCCAATTCGTGGGGGTCGCACCGTAATTTCGCATAACCACAGGGGCTATTCCGCAATTCCAGCAAGAAATAGAAAAAAAGGTAGAGGTGGGGGTGACGCGTGTGCGTGCAGTAGTCGCACGTGAGAGGTGCTTTGCGGGGGTTGGGGCCCACCGATGACGTGGCGTAACACTCACCTAGATGGTACGATACATCATCCAATTTGATTCCAAATTTTTATAACTGCAATTTTATTTTATTACAAAATTTAATTTAATTTATTAGTATAGTATATTAGTGTGAGCGTCGATTGCAATTGGCACCTACCGTACAAAAAGGAAATTGCCATATTGCATGATGTGTGTGACGCAAGGTTAGGTTCGCCCCACGATTATTGTTGCAGGTTGCAACTTCATTTTCACAATTTATATATATATATAATTAATTAATTAATAAAATTTAGGAAGTAGTAGTGGTAGTGCATGTAGTGATGGAAGTGCGGTGTCACAAGTCACATGCCCGGGCAGGGCAGCTTCATTGTATTTGTATATATATATCATCATCATCATCATCCGCAATGTGTTGCACCATTAAAGGCTACAGAGACAAAGGGAAAGGGCCAATTTAATTGTGTCAGAATTAGATAGGGGAATATGTGTGCATTTTATTATATGTAGAAAAATGATGATGCTTTCAAGGTAACCCTATCTAATTAATTAATTAATTTTATATGAAATATTAATGAATCAGTAGAAGTTGGTTGGCAAGCTTTCGATGTCAGAGAGAGGAGAGGATTCCTAAAATTTGATTTAGTGTAAAGTCATTTTGCGGGGACAAATGCAACAGGCCTGCCTGCCCGCCCTTCCCTTGCATTATCCTCCAAGGAAAATAAATAAATATTTTGTTAATATAACAAAGTTATACTCCTATTTTTTATTGATTTATTATTTTTTGAGTGGATAAAATATATATATTATATATATATTGTATGAATGTTTGTAGTATTTATTTTGTAAATATTATACAGTTGTACTTATCTTAATTTATATATTTATTTAACTAAATATAATTACCGTATACTTTACAATAAATTTCTAAATAGTTAAAAAAATGTTTGTTTGTTTGTTATTTTAATTTACTATAATCTCTTTTATTTTTTATTTTTAAAAAATCCTGTTTGATTTTAGTAGTATTAAATTGCATTGAATTTTCCAATAAGTTGGAATCTTTTCCCGATTTATTTTAAATTATTAGAAAAAAACATCTAACATAGTTTATGCTATTTGTTATTAATAAAAAAATTGTAAAATACATTGTTTATATTTTTATTTCGACGTTTTCTGAATCAATTTGAATTCTTATGCTGTTGATGTACCTCTTTCATCCTCTTTCTTTTTCTTCGATCCATTGTATCGTTTTCTTTTTATATATATTTTAATTAATTGCAATAATTGTTATATATATAATATTTTATATAAAAAATAGATATTTTATTCAGTGTAGCAATCAACAATTTCGATTATATTTAGTATTACTATAAATAGTAAATGATAAACTCATTTCATAAAACAATTAATAAAATCACAAAAATAAATATTATTTATATTTTAAATTCCACATTATTCAAATATACACAAGATACGTTGCATTTTTATTTTTATTTTATTTTTATCTTTATTTATTACAAAGTACATACATATATTTCTAAATCTTAATTGATTTATAAATAATGTAATAATAATTTGTCAACATATGTCTAAAGTATAATTCCCGTTGTGATTTTAAGTTAGAGGGAGTTTGTTAAAACACGAAAACAACATGATTAAACTACCACCTCTACCAACAAATTAAATATCCTAAAATTCTTTGTGAGAATGGCTAATTTAATTTCCTAAAAAATCAATGCCCTAATTATCATATTATTATATATAAAATGCGAGCTGGAAAATCGATTTCCGGTAAGATTATTTCGGCGCTGTGCATCGCGAGCTTCCTCGCCGGATCGCTTTTCAGCCGGCCGCCGCGCCACCGCCCGGCCGATGAATTCGACGACGATCACAAGCGGAAACTGGTGGAGCAGCACAACCGTGGAGATGAGATTATGGCAAAAGTCATCAGGACACATGAAGCAGTCCAGTAAGTTTTAAATTAACCCCTTAATTAATTTTTTTTTTTTAGAATAAATTGGATAATACCATATTGTGTTTTATTATAAATATTGTACCCAAAAAAAAAAAGGGTGAAATTTTGATGGCCTTGTGGTCCGAGGAATGTTCAAACCCCGACGTCTTCAGGTCCAAATAATTAACACATAATTTTAAGTGTATATATATATTGTAAAAAAATAGTTACAAACTTGTTTATGAATGAAAGAAAATGTTGAATTTTTATTTGGGGGATTTTGGATGATTTTTACTATTTTTTTTAAAAAAATATTTATGAAAATATCAAATCAAATATATAATTTTTATTTTTTTAAAATTATATTAAATATTAATTATATATTCAAAACATTACATCAATATTTATTTTTTTCTCGTTAAATAACTATTTGAATTTGAAATTAAAATTCAAACCCAAACGTCCAAATAAACATTCATGCTGCTATTTAAGAAACTGTATTCATTTTATTTGTATCATACTTATTAATTTACGTATATATTTTAATTTAATACGAAGAAATTTTACATGACAAGAGGATACGATGCAATTTACCCCAACTCTTAAACCAACTAATCAAGAGCCAAATTTACCAAATTACCCTTTTAACCATAACAGATCACTAGACAAGAGTATATCAAGCCTGGAAATGGAACTGGCAGTCGCCAGAACGAAGAAGAAGAAGAAACTCACACGAGAAAGATCATCCAATCACACAAGTCTCGATAAAAAATCAATTTTCGTAGTCATCGGAATCAACACCGGATTCAGCAGCAGGAGGCGGCGGGACGCCGTTCGAGAAACATGGATGCTCAAAGGAGACCACCTCAAGAGGCTGGAGAAGGAGAAAGGAGTCGTCATCCGCTTCGTCATCGGCCGCAGCGCCACCGCCGGAAGCTCCGGCCCCGGCGCCGGCGGAGTTCTCGACAGAGCAATTGACGCAGAAGACGCAGAGCACAAGGACTTCCTCCGGCTGAGCCACGTGGAAGGCTACCACGAGCTCTCCACAAAAACTCGGCTCTTCTTCTCGACGGCGGTGGACATTTGGGATGCGGAATTTTACGTGAAGGTCGACGACGACGTTCATGTCAATTTGGGGATGCTGGTGAGCACTCTGGCGAAGCATAGATCGAAGGCTAGGGTTTATGTTGGGTGCATGAAGTCCGGGCCAGTTCTATCTCAGAAGTGAGTAATTGATTAGTGTTGTATACAGATGATGCATTTTATTATTATTATTATTTTAATTTGAAATTTTAGGTGAGATGATTATTTAATATGAAGAGTATTTGAATTGACAGAGGCGTGAAGTATCATGAGCCGGAGTATTGGAAATTTGGAGAAGAAGGTAACAAGTATTTCAGGCATGCAACGGGGCAGATCTATGCGATTTCTAAGGACCTCGCGACTTACATCTCCATCAATTCGTAAGTGTCGATGCTAAATAATTAATACACATCTCCACAATTTCTTTTTTTCTAAAAAAATATTAGTGAATAGTGGCAAAAAGCTTCAAAAATATTTATAAAAATAGAACTAATATTTAATATGATATTTTATAAGAAAAAAATACATCTGACATGGTATTTAGAGAAATAAATAAATTATTGCAAATAATTAGTATCAAGATTTTTTAAAAAATATGTACACAGAATCATTATATTTAATATGATATTTTACGAGTACTGCAAATAAATAGTATAAAAATATTTTAAAAATATACATGTAAGTAGAGCTTTGATCTAAGCAGAGGCATCTTGCACCGATATGCAAACGAGGATGTGTCGTTGGGGTCATGGCTCATAGGACTAGAAGTTCAACACGTCGATGATCACTCAATGTGCTGCGGAACTCCGCCGGGTATTTTATACTATCGCTCTGTTATTCAATTCTATTGTCGTTTCATATATATATATATATATATTTATTTATTTATTTATCATTATTATTATTAGATTGCGAGTTGAAGTCGCAAGGGGGGAAGGTGTGCGTGGCGTCATTCGATTGGCAGTGCAGCGGCATATGCAAATCAGTTAAGCGGATGAGCAAAGTGCACACTGCTTGCGGAGAAGCTGATGGAGCCATCTGGAACATCCATCTCTAATATCATTTGACTCATTAATAATAACATCATACATTGCATCTCAGGGGAAATGAAATTCAAATTCAAATTCAAATTCAAATAAAATTGAAATTGAGATTGAGATTGAGATTGAGATTGAGCCTTCAACATGTACACATTATTATTATTATTATTATTATTATTATTATTATTATTATTATTATTATTATTACTATTGTAATTTACATACTATAATGAAAAAAAATGTTATGCAGTAAATTGAATTTAAAAAAAAAATGAAATAAAATAATGGGAAGTTTATTTCAATCTATGTAACTTGATCTAAATTCATTTGATTGAACTTTAGGTTTATAAATAGAGCTATAAATTATTTTTAGAACATAAATAATCAGAAAATAACATAACACTACTGTGTAGGGGTCCATGGTCCTCTCCTCCCAAGAATCACTCCATATTCCTTTTAAGATTTGAATTGAAGTTTTCCGTTTTTAAATAATGAATAAATAAATAAAATTAATATTTGTTGAAATGTAAATTTATATTTATTAGATATTTCGAATACAAAAATAATATTCTAATAGTACATCAAACAAAAAATATATTTATTTATTTATTAAAAAAAGAGCCTTTGATGCTGCAAGAATTCTACAAGAAGTAAGAATATTTTTCCCCCTACATACTTCTCTCTCTCTCTCTCTCTCTCTCTACAAATATAGACAAAGGAAAAGTCGATGATGATGAAATTACAAATCAATTTTCAGTGGTTCGATGTTATAAATAAAAATATAAATATAAAATATAAAAATGTGTATAATGCATTGTGGGTTCCTCCAATGAGATTTCATTTATCACCTCCAAAACTTTTTGTAATTTTACCATATCCATTATATGTAAAAAAAACTATATATTACTACTTTTATCAACCGAACCACTACAACACACACTTTTCTATTACTTCCACCATTTTTTTTAAAAAAAAAAATAAATTTGAAAAAATAAAAAGAATGAAATAAAAAGGTGGGTGGTGGGTCATACATTATATTTACGTAGCATTGGATTATTACCACAAATAAAATGTTGCAAGATTTGTCATGTGTCATCATCAATAATGAGAAAAAAATTGACATCCCACACACACACACACACACATATATATATATTATTTTCTTTTATTATATATATATATATATATATACATGCATACATTGCATTCAACTTAAGAAGTTGAATTAAAACATGTGGGATATGATTATCTACACGTGAATTTCAAACAAATTTTTTTTACCATTTTAAAAAGGGCCCTGCGTGACAGATTCAAACCTACTTTTGTTGTTTTTGGTCTTAATAGTAATTGATAGTATTACTTATAAAGACTAATCAATGTAAATGAATTGATGATGAATCAAGACCAACTTGCCTCTGCCAAATCATTGCTGTATTTTGCATTTTAATATATATATATATATATATATTAGTTATTTTTAGATATAAATTTTATTTTTATTTAAAAGTAGTAGTAATATATATCTAACATTTATCCATGGGGAAAAATTGTTTTGATTAGTCTGTACAAAAAAAGGAATAAATATATTTATGTAATTATGAAGTATATAATAAAAATAAAATATTTGATAAGAACTATTGGCATATATATATATTGTAAGTTCATACGTTGTATTAGTATTATATTAATATATATACCTCATACTACCTACTCATACTTCGACTTTATTTAGACATATTTTTTAAGACTTTTGAAATTTTAAAAATTTAAAAATAACAAAAAAATAACATATATCTATATTTTCTCTATTTTGAAATTTTAACCTCATTCTTTTGTATAAATAAATTAACATATATAATAATAAAAATAGACATCATATACTTCTTTTCTACAGTACAACATATATTATATATTATGTTATAACATTATATATATATAATATATATTATCTATTTTTATTATATATATTGAGTGAGCCAATCAACAAGTGATCCGCGTTCGTAAACAAGAGGCTATACTTGCAGCTTTGAAGGGACAGTTTTTCCTCTTCCATACTTTAGACTTGAGCAAGCCACAAAAGGGAATTATGATTATGGTATGACACAACCCATCATCTTTTTTTATTTTTATTTTTTAATATAAAAATAATAATAACAATAAGCAACAAAAAATAATTAATTAATTAATTAATTGGTGGTGAAAGTTGTTGCCCAACTCAATGCATGTGTGATGCAAAATTATTTGGAGTGATCATATCATACTTGCGTTGGAAACATACCTTACTTTTATGGCCAGCAATGACTTCAATTAAATTCAACCTTTATTTACTTTTTATTTTAAAATAAAATAGAACAATTATTTAATATTATCTTTAAATAATAAAAGAAAATTTATAATACGTATAGGTCAAAGTTGTTTGCTTAATTAATTTTGGTATTGTTTGACTCGATAAAAATTGAAAAATAAAAAACCTCGACTAGCGGAAAGATAGGGATGCAGTGCACATGACAGTAGTAATGTTGTTGTCCGGGGCTAAATTTACGGATAAGGTTAAGGATATGTAGTGGGCCATTGGGCTGCCACGTGGCCCAATCTGGCGACCCATGGGCCTCTAAAGCTAGTAGGAAGTCCATTTTTTTATGGGTCACACTTCTCTATTTATTTTGCATAGCAATGGAAGACATTGTAATGATATAATTTCAACTATCCATCTCTCGAAAAATATATAAACCTACATATTTCTTTTCTTACATATCCTTACATAATACATCCCTTATCTAAAAAAAGATAAAAAAATAAACTATATAGTATTTTTTTCTTAACTATGACACTTTTGTGTAAGTTGCGTAACTAACACAATTACAAGAATTAGGTTTTGTTTATATTCCCATTTTAAGAAGTTTTAACCCTATACTCACAAGTAACTTTTTTATGAAAGAAATATAACGTCAAATACATATTTTCTCACAAAATGTTGCACCAAATGCTCAAATTTGACTGCTATTCACACAATTATTCGAATTTCCAAACCCTAAAAAAATAAAAATAAATAAATAAAGAAAAAAAGAAAGAAAGAAAAAGAGCATAGCCTTAATATCATCGAAATGAAAAGCCAAAATTCAGAATGAAGTATACCAACAAACATGAAAATTTGCAGCTTGAGTCATTCAACCAACATAACATAAAATAACAGAACAGAACAGCCATTATTTACAGAATGGTATGTCCAAAATCAGACAAAGACAAAGGCTGTCTACAGCTTCAGCAAAAGCATCTTCACAAATTCCATCTAACATTGAGTAAGCAACAAAGCAGGAATTTAACTGACCTGGTAAGATAATACCACCGACAGCCTGCTTTGTCGGGAGCTACAACGATGTCCCAAACCCGAACAAGAAATTGAACTGCAAAACCTTGCTCGTAGTAAATCTATTTAGTGCACATTGCGATTGAGCAGCCCTTGAAATGATATGTATAGATCTTTATTCTCTATTCCAAATATATCTTCAGCTTTTCTCAGCGTCTCCTGAAAGAGTGAAACCCCAAATAAACAACACTCGAAAATTTTACAGCAAAGGGCCAACTTGTTAAGTAAATTACCTCGCGCGATTGCCTTTGCGCATTTAATTCCTTTATATTTGCCAGAAACGCGCTGAATTGCTCGAGTGACAATCGACTCCTGGACAGAAAAAAAGCACGGAATAAAGACACTAATTGTTGATCGTCAGTTAATGACAGCACAAGAAGACATTATCATACTCACCTCGCCTGACGGAAGAACTCCTTCCCATCAATTCGGGGAGCACGAGCTACCAGAAATTTTTTTTAAAAAAAATGTATCGGTTAGGCTTAACTTCAAATATACATTACCAAGATAGGATTTTTTTTAATCGAACAAGTACAAACCTGGTAGTGGGCGGCCTTTAGGAGGAGAGTTAGCGGCAGACGACTGCTGGCTGGACGAGTACCACGAAGAAAGAGATCCGCGGCCATCATTACGAGTCGGAGAAGTGGCGCCGGAGGTCAATTTAGGAGAGGTAGCAACTGAATACCTCCGGGGAGAGACACTAGCCGAAGTAATTTTCGGTGTTCCGGTGGGAGTGAGGCGGGGCGTTATGTACGGCGTGATTGAAAATTTATGTGCACCTTGCTTAGAGACTTGCCAAGAAACAAAATCGTAATATTAGCTCACACAGTAAAAACTCAGAACTGCATATACAAACGCAAAATTTCAAATACCATCATCGATTAAGCTTGCACCTTCAGTAGATCCCCCGTAAGAATGATTTTTGGGATAGCCATTCAACTCGTCTGAAGTAGAAAATTGTAAAAATCAGATCAAAGCAGGAAATTGGGTATAAGAGACCGCCAATGTTTCATGAACAACATAAGTCGGTAAAAGTACCATTTGCAGAATACATCTTTGGCACCGTCTGATCGTAAGTACCGATGTCTACAGTTTCTGTTGGCTGTTGTGATAACCCAAAAATAATTGAATAAATAAAAATTAGTCATTTGATTGATATCCTCTAGTAATTTACAAAGACAAAGAATTCAACAGAGAGCCGAGCTAGAATGTTAGCTATGGCAATCATACCTGTGAATTTTCATCATTCAGCGATTGCATCAATTGCCTCTTAAATGCCTCCAGCTGTCAAGAAGAAGAAATTATATCTCAATCGAATGTGAAACAATAATTCATTCAATTTATCTAATCAACAAAGACAACAAACTGAAGAGCAATGCAAGCTATTCTAGGAATGAAGGAGACAAGATTTACAGAATGTTACTTTGCAGGAATGAAGACACTTGGATATACGATATAAAAAAAAAAACATAAAAACAAAATTTTCACACATAATTCCCATTCCCATTCCAAATACTAATCCTATGTTTCTTTTGAGAATTTTCAGTGGAAAAGGTGGAAATTAAAAACTGAAACTTTGTTTCAAAACCTTTAAATAAAAAGCATCAAAATCATTAAGAACAGTTAGTTTTAAACTATACTTCACAGATTACAGAAACAAAATAGACTCGAAAATTATTAAGGATGGTATACTGCTTAAATTTTTTGCTTTTGCTTAGAGAGAAATGATAATAGCTTTCCACAGGTGAATTTTCCTCTACCTTCGTTCTCTGTTTCCTCAAAAATTTACAAATTCCTCACACAGACATAAAGATTATCTACAGGAAAATTAGGGCATCAATCACAACCTCCGATGATTGTTACTGCATAATCTTATTCTATGGAAGAACTGAAATTGTTAGGGATGAACTCAGGAATTGACAGTAGAAAATTGAACGAATAATGGGCAAATAAATGCATTAGGTCATCTTCCTCATTAGAACATCTGAAACTAATTTCCCTTTATCCCATTCTATTCGAAATGCTACTTCGGGAAAAGCAGACGGAAATACCTTTGCCAAATCGCGATTGAGTTTGTTTGCAGTCAAAGCCAAGGAATCCCTCTCCTTCACCAGCTTCATCTGCAAACCAAATTCCCCCAAAAACCAACCATTCACATTCAACAACCAAATTTACTAACAATAAAGACAAAATTGCCATTAAAATTCCAAAATTACATTATCTTCGCGGAGGATTTTCAACCGCAGCTCAGCATCTTGATAAGCCCCATCGAGCTGTGAAACCCTATCCTCGAGCTCCTGGATAATCCGGTCCTTCTCGTGAAGCTTCTGACGGAGACTCCCCGCCTCCGTCTCCAGCTTCGTGACGCGCGACGCGATTGCCATGGAAGTAATCTTCCGCGCCAGATCCAGCTGGTCGTAGGGGTCCGTAGGTATTACCGCCAATATCTCGTCCGGCAGATTGAAGTCCGGACCTGCTCCGCCGCCGTGCGCCATCTACCTCCGCCGGGTCGGAGCGTTGATCTCGTGAAGAGTAGGTGAGGAGAAAGCCTGGCCGCTGGCTGGAGGAGTCCAACTGCTTTGAGTTTGACGACGTCGACCTCTGCGCTGTCGGAGGGTTCGTTCTATGTTAAAATAGTCACAGGAGAAAACGTGCTTTTAAAAATAGCGCTTTTTGTTTTATATGCGAGGAAGGAATTTAAGCACGACGTAAAAGCGTGTTAGGTTTAGTAACACACGATTTTGCGGTGCTTTTGTCTGGTTGGTTCAAATTTTGGGTTTTCCCTCCTTTTATTTATTTATTTTTTTGAAATATTGTGGAAAAGGGCTGCTTTCTTATTTGACTTGCTTTTGAGTCTCCTGTTTTGACACTTCAATAAATTAAAGCCCATTTACTTTATTGTAATAATGATCCAATATATTTGAACTTATTGAAAATTAAGGATATGTTTGTTTGGGATTGGATTTTAAATTTATTATTCGTTTTATTTTTTTTTAAAAAAATATCAAATCAAATTTTTATTTTTATTTTTTATATTATACTAAAAATTAATTTTACATTAAAAAACATCACATCAACACCTATTTATATCAAATTATACAATTATTCAAATTCAAATTTTTTACTATTTAAATCTCAATTTAAAATCCAAACCCTCAAACATGGACACCCTAAACAAATGAGTTAATCCATATAAAACACTTTGAGGTTTTTTTCTTTAAAAATAAAATAAATTAATTTGCTATATTTGAAATCCGTGTGAGAATTAGTAACTTTGAGATATTGTATTGCTTTTAATTTTTTAACTAAATAATTATCTGATTTGACATTTTGTATTAAAATATAATTTTATAAAAAATTGTTAGTTTCATAACTTTTAAAAAATATTAGTATTTTAGTTGTGTGCTTAGTATGTAGTACTTTCATTTTTCAGATGATTTGCGTTTTTATTTTTTATTTTTAATAAAATAATTATTGAACATTGAAGAGAAATAAAGTAATTGAAACAACATCAAGTAAAAATTATATATTATATTAAAATTGACTATTACACATAACATAATTTAAATACAATTAAGTCTAACAAATTTATAACAAACTCTTTTTTTAAAAAAAATGATAATAGCAATGGTCACAAATATACAAGTTTGGTTGGGTTGGATTTTAGATGGCTTTATTGATTAACTTAAATTAGTCCATTTTGAAAGAGTTCAATCAGCATAGATCAAACGGCTTCTTCATTACCTCTCCTTCATTAACAATGATTTTTTAGATTTTGTTTCCTTTACGAATTTTTATTTATTTTACATTATTTATTTTTAAAAAATATCACATCAAATACTATTTTTTTTTTTTTTAATTTCAAAATTTTCCAAAAATCCTAAACCCTAAACCCCAAACAAACTTTCAAACAAACACAGCCATAATGTGTATAGCTTTAATTTAAATATTTAGATAAGACGGTCATTTAGATAGGACAAAAACACTAACATATGAATTTGTCGGATGTGTATGTGGCCTGTGAGAATTAGAGAGAATGTCATGTGCGCATAGAAAAGCCTAACATATTAAAATTGGTGTTGTCACCATCTCATTCATTGTACAACTTTTGGCTACGTTACAAGTCATTTAATAGGACTATTACAAGTTTTTTTTTTTTTTTTTTTCAAAAAAAATGTTAAATAAATAAATAGTATTTATTTCAATAAGTAATATTATTTTATTAATTAGTAAAAATTTGTAAGATATTTTAATATTTTTATCATTTAATTTTACATATATTTTAAAATAAAAATAAATCATTTGAAATGAGATATACAAAAATAGTAAAAATATATTTTAAATTGGGACGAATAAAGTATATATTTATGGATTTAAAAAATGTTAAATAAATAAATAGTACTCATTTCCAATAAATGCATTCATATATTCGATTTTAATATAATGCATTTTTTTATTGTTATTTTTTGTTTTTATAATAATATTTATAAGAGGTTTTGATATTTTTATTCTTTAATTCAATGTAAAAAATAATTATATTTACAATAATATATTTTTAATTTAAATAAAAATTAAAAGATATTTTGATATTAATAAATTATTATTTTTATTAAAATATTAAAAAGATAGTTTAAAATGAAATGAGTAAAATTGGTAAAAAAAATACTTGTTGGAGGAGGGAGTATCTGCCGTCAAATATAATAACAAGCAAATAAATTAGTAGACACGAAATAGAACTTGTATTATATTGAAATAATTATTAGATACTCCTTCCGTCTCATATCTATATATCATTTTACTTTTTGTACAGAGTTTTAGAAATATTAGTATTATATCGTGATAATGTAGAAATAAAGATAAAAAAATTAAATTAACCGCATTAGTATTATATGGTTTAAAGGTAATGACATTTGTGTAATATAATGTAAATTGGAAGAGTATTTGTAATGTTAGGTAGATAATACAATTACTAAAAAATAAAATAAATACTTTATTATGGGACGGACCAAAATGAAAAAATAAATAGATTGTTTATAGATGAAATAGAGTATTATATGGTTTATTTGATTTTAGTTTCATATTAAGACTTTGTTCTTTCAATATTTTTTTCAACACGATTTTTAATACTTTGTCCGTCCACTTACAATGTTTATATTTACTTTTGGCGCGGTGTTTAAAAAATAATAGTATTTTAATTATATTGAGTAGTTAAAAGTAGTGTAATGGCATTTTGGCCCTTACTTTTTTGTATAAAAGTAATGATGTGATGTAAAGTAATGTTAATTTTATAATTAGACGTCCCAAAATAAAAATATGTAAACATTGTAAGTGAACAGAGAATATTATATTATTTTCTCACAAAAAATCAACATTTAATATAAAATATTAATTTTGATATTACCACAACATCTACGTTTCCCTATATCTCACATAAAAAAAATAATTTCAAAACAAAATACTAAACAAACAAACCCTATATGATATAATTATTAATATATATGTTTAATCTGTTTCTACCTTTTTTTATTCGTTCCATAAAAAATTATATATTTTTTTAACAAATTTATCCATTTTAAATATATTTAACAAATATAAATTAATTTAATAAATTTATTTCTTCTTACAATCTAGAGTCCTACTTAAAATTCATTTATTTTTATTATTTTTTTAATAAACAAATATTTTTATCTATATTTATAGTTTCACATTTTTTATAAAATTAATTTTAAATTAATAATAAATAAAAAAATTATTTATTTATTTATATTATTTATAAAATAATATATAATATATATTTTATAGAAATATAATATAAAAATATTTAAGATATCAATATCAAAACTCATGTGTGAAAAATAATAAAATAATAAAATAATTATTTATTATTAATAATTTATTAATATATTGTACCTATATATGTAGGTAATAAAAGGATCATCTTTATTCGAAACATATGGAGTATATTTTAATATTGGCTTAACCTTTTCAAGTTTCCACTTTCCAGTGGATGAAAATGAATTAATTAATCGTCCGTAAGGATGGTACGAAGGTTTAGGGGATGAACTTGTGATTACAAGGTTATAAGTTCAAATTTTTTGTAACATATGGTTCGTTTAACATGATTTTTTAATCAGATATAATTTGTAGAGTATTAAATTTGATTGGGGTTTATCCAGTTCATACTTTTGGATAGCTACCGCTGATTCCTAGGTAGTACAGAATAAAGAGTAATAAAAAATGATAAATTAATCGCCAATATTTATCTAGACAAAATAATTCAAGCAATATCTTTGCAAGCCATAAATTTTACTAGAACTTTGAAAACGATGGATGAGATAGAGATAGACACTGATCGATCGATGGCGTGACAACACTCTTAACTATCCGTACATACAGACAAGATCTATATAAATATCCGGTCCAAAAAAAAAAAAAAAAAAATCAATATTTCAAATTAAAAAAAATCAACACAAACCCTAAAATCTTAAATCCCCAAATTAAACACCTCTCGACCTCAACCTGCTCCAATGGCGATCGTTGAATTTCCCACGCTCATCTTCCTTTCCCTCATAACAATCTTCATTCTCATTCTTACAAGCACGAGAACCACAAAGACAACCTCCGCGCCGACCAACTGGCCTATCCTCGGAATGCTGCCGGGGCTTCTCCGGAACCGCCACCGGATCCATTCCTACGCCGCCGAAATCCTCGCCGAGAGCGGCGGCACGTTCGAGCTCATTGGCCCCTGGTTCTGCAATATGGACATGCTGATAACCTCCGACCCCGCTAATATCCATTACATCTTCAGCCGGAATTTCGCCAATTATCCGAAAGGTCCTGAGTTCAGGAAAATTTTCGAAATTCTCGGCGACGGGATTTTCAACGCTGATTTTGAGCTATGGGAGCTTCACAGGAAGACGACGCTGTCGTATTTCAGCAACGAGAAGTTCTACACGTTGCTCGAAAAGGCTGTGTCGGGGAAGATCCAGACAGGATTGATGCCGGTTCTGGAGTTCCTGTCCGAGCGCGACAGGGAAATCGATTTGCAGGACGTGTTTCAGAGATTTACTTTCGATAGTATTTGCAAGCTGGTTTTGGATCACGATCCGGAGAGCTTGTCCCCGGAGTTTCCAATCGTGCCTTGCGGCGACGCGCTGAACGACGCTCTCGAGGCCCTGCTCCACCGCCATGTCCTGCCGGAGGTTGTCTGGAAATTTCAGAAATGGCTGCGGATCGGGAAGGAGAAGAAGCTGATTGAAGCGTGGGAATCCATTGACGAATTTGTCTACCGCTGCTTGAGCTCGAAGCAGTCCGAATATTCCGGCGCTGGCGATGGATTCAGTTTGTTGGAATCTTTCAAACAGGCGTACGAGGAAAGCAATGTCCGGTCGCCGCCTTCGGCGACGGCGACGGCGACGAGAGTGTTTTTAAGGGACACTGCTCTGAATCTGATGCTGGCGGGAAGGGACACGACGAGCACGTGCCTCACGTGGCTGTTCTGGCTGCTTTCGGCGCACCCGGCGGCGGCGGAGAGGATCAGGGAGGAGATAAAGGAGGAACTGCAGGTAAAGCAGGGAAGGGGGAACTGGAGAGGACCGAGCGTGGAGGACACGCGCCGGCTAGTTTACCTCCACGGCGCGTTGTGCGAGTCGCTGAGACTGTTCCCTCCGGTGGCGTTGGAACACAAAGCTCCGGTTCGAGCCGACGTGTTGCCGACCGGAAACCGGCTCCGGCCGGAGGCGAGGGTAATATTGTCATTCTACTCGACGGGGAGGATGGAGGAGGTGTGGGGGAAGGACTGCCTGGAGTTCCGGCCGGAGAGGTGGAGGACGGCGAGGGGAGGGGTAATGCACGCGCCGTCGTACAAGTTTCCGGCGTTCAACGCGGGGCCGCGGACGTGCTTGGGGAAGGAGATGGCGTTCGTACAGATGAAGATGGTGGCGGCGGCGGTGGTGTGGCATTACAGGGTGGAAGTGGTGGAGGAGGTGGTGGCGCCTCGGGATTCGATCATACTTCATGCTAAACATGGATTGCGTGTCAGGCTGCTGTCCAGATCCGACAGCAATTGAAGAACAGCATCATCTCTTTCTCGATCGATGTTTCCGTACTCCTCCAATCCATGTCTGAATATTCGCTTTTGTTCTTTAAAGCAAAAAATATTTTGCATCTTCGAAACAAATAATTATTCGACAAACATATGGAGTATATTTTCAAAAAAATATATATCTAATTTCAAATTCAAATTTGGGAAGGATTATAGTGTTAATTTTTTCAAATAGGCACGGTATTGATTTAGTAAAACAACACGAGTAAAATATAAAAATAATATATATATATTACACATAGTATATAGTGTTTGTAATAAAAATATGTGATGGTTGTTCGTAATAACAATAAGTATTATATAAGAGTAAGATAATATCCTAAAATTAATTATTGTATATATTTTTTAAATCTATATAATATGTTAGTTCATTTATTTTATTGTGCTTGTATTATACTTCTTTCGCATCCAAGGGTTATATTTATGTTTTGTGTTATTTTATTTAATATTAAAAATATTACTCTTTCCGTCCAGCTAGAAAGTATACATATTTTTATTTTGGGACGTCCAACTACAAAGTAAACATTTCATTAAATACCTTACTTTTTTTCCACAAATACCCCTAATTTACATCACATCATTACTTTTACACCAAAAAGCAACTTTTAACTGCCCATTATAATTAAAATATTATTATTTCTTAAACACCGCGCTAAAAGTAATTGTATATTTTTTTTGTGGACGGAGGGAGTATTATATTTGTATAATTTTTTTATTTATTTTATTTTTTTATAAATGTGCTTCTATTAATATTTTGGAATTTTTTTCTTAATTTTAACTACGTTTTGATATAATAATTAATATTAAAAAATCAACATGGTAAAAAGTAAATGAGACCAGCGAACGTGAGTAGTATTAATATAATTGATGTGTCGTGAATAATAATATTATGTGTTTTTATAAATTTATTAGGTGTTTTTCAACAAAATTCAACGCTGTATTTGTCGGCCCAAACCAAATAAACCCCATGTTAACTTTCTACATTTTGTCCTATCATTGTCAATGTAATTTATAAAATTGCCAAAAACAAAGGTATAGGAAAAATAGTGATAGAAAACTATAAGATTATACCACCTAAAAGGTTAAAACAACAATTATGAAGTAAATCGAGACAGATATATTGTGTATTTTAAACACACTGATTAAAATAGTACTATTAAATTTACAATAAATATATTGCAAAACAAAAATAGTAGCATTTCAAGTCAATTATTGTATTCAAAATGTTATCAGCTTATTAAATAAGACAATGCGTATATTGATTATGGATAAATCGAATTTTAAAAATAAATTTACATTGGATAAAGTTGTAGTACTATCTTTTATTTTTCTCTAAAAGTACTAACATTCAATTTTTATTTTTTTATAAAATATATATAATCTATTAATTATTTCATCATAAAGAAAATGACCGCACACATAAAGTAAATAAACCTTCGCCGCGTGTTTTTTTACAATAAATATAAATAATATTTTTTAATGTAAAATATAAAAAAGATACAATTAATATAAAAATAATAAATTTGTGTAATATATTAATTTTTTTTAAAAAAAAACACACCCCTCCTTATATTAATTATGTACGGTAAATCTTTATCATCAAAGCAAAAATTGTTCAAAAGAATATACTTCATTAGTTCATTCAAATTTCTTTATTTTTCTATTTTAATTTGTCCATTTTAATCTTCTAATATTTTTTTTAGTAAAAGTTATATTTCAAATAAATATAAAAATATTTTTATTTTTATCATCACATTATTATTTTGATGTAAAAATAAGAGCAAAATTATCTTTACATATATTATCTGTAAAATACTAATATATCTAAATTTACGCGACAAAAATAAAATAAAAAAATTATTAACAAACACAAACAAATATTACATGAATAAATTGTGATAATTTTTACGACAAAATTAATGAATATTGTTCGTAAAAAATATATATATATATTGATTTGAGTTTTTTTTTAAATGATACTTTGATGGATATTTTATATATGAAAACAGAAAAAATTATTAAAAATTAATAAAGTAAAAAAAATTGGTTTGGGTTAATTAATATTATTTTATATAGGGGTGAACATTCGGATTTTCTGTTCGGATTTGGCAAAATCCGAACCGATCCGAAAATTTGAAATTTTTGAAAAAATCAATCCGAATCGAACCGAAATAACTGAAATCCGAAATCCGAGAATCCGTAATCCGAACTAAAAAATTCGAACCAAACCGAAAAATTCTAAATTCTAAATATTATTATTATTATTTTTTTAATTTTTAAATTTCTTTTATATTTTATAATATTAAATATATAATATATAAAAATTAAATATATTAAAATATAATTAATAAATTTGAGTTTTTATATTAAAATATAATATATATTTTTAATAAAATATTAAATATATATAATAAAAAATATATTAAAATATTATATTTCGGATTTCGGATTGATTCGGATTTTAAGTATACCGATCCGATCCGATCCAAAAATCCGAAATTTGTTAAAAATTCAATCTGATACAATCTAAAAATCCGAAAAATCCAAACCAAATTTTAAATTTTACTTTGATTCGAATTTGATTTTGGGATTTCAAATATTTTGCTTTCCCCTTATTTTATATATGAAAACAGAAACACTAAACTTAAGGCTTATCCCATAAAAAGATATATGATCTTATAATAGGATGCTAATGCATTTATCATCAGCCTAAAAAATATTAATATGAAATTGACATATGACAGGCGCATGTGCATTCATTGGCTCAAAATTAATAATCCCACAATTAATAAAAGTAGGTACCAAACCTAAGTTGTTTGAACATAAATATCCAAATTCACTATAGTCACTGCTACATTTTATATTAATATAATATACTTAATCTTTTATTCAAATTTATTATGTTTTTTTTTTACTTTTTATTTATTAAGAAAAAAGTATAAATTTTTATTTTTTTATATATTTTTCTTAAAATTCGTGCATAATCAAATGAGCAAATAATTAAATGAAAGAAAAAGTAAAATATATTGATAAATTTACCATTCATAATATTTATTTTCCCGATACATATTATTTAGATCTCGTCATAAAAATATATTCATACCATTTTTCACCCTATAAATATGAACTAATGTCACATACAGGCACGAATCGTATTATAACTTTTCCCGATATTTAGATGTAGAGAAAAAATTATTTCCAGTCACATATTTATGTTACCATTTAATCAAATTTTCTCATATGTATTTATATATATATATAGCATAATATGCTGATGTGAACGTAATGGAAACTAATGTGACATACTATTTGAAAAATACAATGGGTATATGTATTATCTATAACATGAGTGTGTTGCTTCAAACAAATAAAATATTTATTTAGTTGCACATAAAATATTTATCTTTTTTATTTTGACTTATTTTATATAATTTTTTATTTTTTTAAAATATAATTATATATTTTAATTAAATTTTAAATGTAATAATTTATAATTTTAATTAAATTATTTTTATTATATGGCAAAAGCTATACCGAGAACCGGTTCGCTTAGGAATGTAATAATTATTTTTACTGATATATTTATTAAATATTTATTAATTATAATTTAATTAAATTTTTATATTTACAATAATGCCGAATAATTTAAAAATACAAACATGCATGGTCCAAATGAATCAGCATCGAGAAATTCAATTTGGCTTGGAGAAAGACAGCGTACAATAATGAATGTGGACCTCACTAGATTTTTTCTTTTTTTATTTTTTTTTTATTTAGAGTTTGTTGGTACAGTCTTTTATTTAAATAAATATTTTTATGTTTCATCAAATATAAAAAATAATATTATATTGAATATTGATTTTTATAAAATAATAAAATATATAACGAGAGAATCGTGTAAAAAATAAAATTTATGTAAACAAAGTGTTAATTTATTAAATAATATGAATATTTTTTATTTATATTTTAAAATTACTTTTGACTTGTCTTTTAATATTCTCTTTTCAAGTTTTGTTATTAATTACTAGATATTGTAAAAATATTATAAATAAAATATTTGGTTTTTTTTTTATTTTTAAAATATCGTATAAAAAATTATGTTTGATTTAGATAAGAGAGTTTGAAGTTTTGGAAACAGTGAAAAAATAAATAGTTGATGCATTATTTTGTGGAAAAAAGAAAACAAAGTTCTAATATGATTGATATTTTTTAAAAGAGAATACCACTTGATATATATACATTTTGTTATTTTTTATTATTCAAATATAAATCATTTTTTTAAAGTAAATGTAAGTTATAACTATACATTACAAATACTCTACATTTATAATTATTTATATCAATATTCTTACAATAATTTTACATATCATATAAATAAAATAATCTTTACGCAATAATATTATCACTAACTATCATTAAAATAATTTTCGGCATCATTATGTCTCTACTCTCGACTATGCCTTAACATAAACATAATTCGGTCTATGGGTCAGGCCGGGTTTGATTAGCTTGTAAATTATTGACCTGACAACTTCGATTCCCGGTCCGGGCCAAGGCCCAATATAGTCATAGGCCCGGCCCATAAATAATTTAGTATTTAGGCCCGATAAAAATTGACCCAATTAAACCGACCCTTCCATTATTATTATTATTATTATTATTATTATTATTATTATTATTATTATTATTATTATTATGTTGAGCTCAAAATTGAATTTGTCTTGGCTCATTGGCTAATAAGAATATTGTTTTTTAATTAAGGAACTTTGTTTGAAAATAAAAATTAAAGATTTACTATCATAAAATAAATATAATGACAAATGTAAAAGGAAAAATTTAAGGAATACTAATAAACATTTTCTAAACATAACACATTTAATTTCATGTTGATGTTAATTCATCATACGGATTTTATTTTATTTTATATTTAAAAAAAAAATCAAATTGTATTGGTCAAATTAACCTATACTATTATTTATCTAAGTCAAAACTCTAATAAGTGACATGTTGCCAAAGGGGCAAATTAACTAATTTGGCTCTTGGCTAATTTTTATTTTTATTTTTAATTTTCTAAATGAATGTGTGAATCTTACTCACATTTCCACTTATCAAATGCCTTTTTCTATTCATCCTTTTACACACACACACACACTGGCCCTAATTAAATTAAATCACTAACAGTTGAAAAAAAAATAAAAAATGGATATATCTAACATACATTTTTTATATCTTAAATATTACTCTCAATTAATTTAATTTAAAATTTTATCGTCACTACATGTCCAAATATTTAACCTACATCCAAACACATTTTTCAATGTTTCTATTTTAAGTTTTTATGGTAATATATATATTTTTTCAATCTCATCTAAAAATTG